CAGCACAATAAAAGCCCTGGTAAAACACAACCGTGTCCTGCTACTACAACCTACTCCCTGCTGGGTGTTGTGTTGCTGGAAGTACAACCAGCTCTTCCTTCTGCAGTTTGCTCTTTCCCAAAGGAAACCTATTTTGGAAGAACTCTGGTTCAGGCCAGGAGTTCTGCTCTTAAGTCAGTGTTCAGCAACCTTTTAGCAAACCATGGCCATTACTCCCCAAACCACCCTTCTTACAGGACAGCCACAGCTCTCAGCCCTGAGCGGTGTGCATCGTGAGTGAAACGGCAACCAGGAAAACCACTTTTTCCTCATGGAATCAGCCACAAACACAGGGGCCTTAGTTCCTGCTGCAGAGTCTCAATCCATGAACGCAAAACACGGACCCTTGGAGGTCAGGCAGTTCAATTCTTGGAAGAACATACACAGAAGTGGTATTCTGAGAAGGCACCTTGGTGTCCTTGAGCCCTTCCCAAGACCGGCTCTGCCCAGGACAGTCCCCAAAGCCATGCCCACAGCACCTCAGATGACACAAGCCAATGTCAGTCCCTTTAAGCTTAACTGCTCCGGCCAGCAATGCACACAGCCTCTTCCAACCTGACAGAGCAGCTATTTCCCTGCATTGCTCTTTCTTCCCCATCCCTCGGTTTAAAGAGCAGTTCAGACCACAGCCAGGCTGGCATACAGACAACACAAAACCTTCCCCAAATCCACAGAACAGCAGCTTCCCTGCATTGCCTCCATAATCCTTGAAGAAGTAGGTTCCATCTTAAACAAAATGCAACTGCCAAGGGCCATAAGTGATGGCAACAATTTACATGAGCAATAAAACTGCATAAACCCAAAATACTGCTTACCCGTGTTGTAGAGTAGCACATGCTGCAGGCAGCATGCAAAATGGATTTAGGTGATGAATCTGTTTGCCTATTAGCTGCCAGACAGCTTTAATTCATGTCAGATACAATTAACTCACTCTGACAATTGGAAAAGGAAGCTTGAATATTAGCAGCACTGTTGGTTGCATTGTGCTGGGATTGGCATGTGTAGGCAGTACTGCCTCTGGGAATCAGAATCCTCACAGAATGGTTTGGAAGGGACCTTAAAGCTCATCCCAATTCCCTGCCATGGGCAGGGACACTTTTCACTAGATGAGGTGACTCCAAGCCCTGTCCAGCCTGGCCTTGAACACTGCCAGGGATGGGGCCAAAGAGGAACCTTGAGCTATGCCACCTCCATGCCCTACAGAGCAAAGCCAGCATGCCAACAACCCCAACAGGCACCAACTGAGGTGCAGCCATAACCCTCAAGTTCAACAGATTCTGCTTCTCCCAGACTTCCAGGTGCTAAACACTTAGTTTTCAAGGAATTTTTTGCTGTAGGTATAAGTAATGTCTTAACTCCAATAAGAACATTTAGTTAACAGAATTCAACAGCAAGAAACTGTACTCATGGCTTAGTAGTTTCAATATTGCCACCTGCAGTTAGGACTTAGAAGCTGCCAAAACCTCTTAAATAGTGATTTCCAAATACATGGTACATACACCCAAGGTTTGCATTGCAGTAACAGGTTTCCTTTTTAAAGGAAACTCATGTATGAATGCTGTTCTCCAGGCTTTCTCCCATGCCACATGCTAACTAATTGTTTAAAGTTATTATTTATTTTCAACTTGGGCAACACTTTCTCTTTCTAGGGGCAAACTCACACTGCATATTGAAGCTATTCAAGAAGAAGCAGAGACTCCTTTGCTTCCTCCAGCAAAGAAAGCAAAACATGAGAGCCAATGTCTTCCAGAGCCAGAAGCTAAACACATTAATCCATCCAGTTCCAACAGTAAGTTTCCAAAGGGCTACATTTAAAGTTGAATTTTCATGAATCCCAAGTGGAGCAAGATTTCTCTCTATTTTCTCTAAGCGATGGGGAAAACCCCACATTAAAGACTGAGGAAGTTAAAACAGCATTTACTGGATATGGCTCTTTGTCAAAGTGATGCACCAAATGAACTCAATTCAGATGAGAAGAAAGGGCAAACCAGTGTTTGACTAGGCCAAGCCTTCTTCTTTCCTGGCTACACTCTGTTCCAGGAGCACTGCTTCCCCTAAAGATTTCAAAGGGGGTGTAGGAAAAGCAAAGTTCTCTCATATTAGAGATACTGCAGTAGCTTGCAGGTTACTCTCAGTAACCTGGTTAAGCCACAGTCCAGCCAATTCTATTAAGTTGAAGTAACTCTGATACTTTTATTTCTTTTGGAACAATAAAATGCACAAGTTGTTTATACAAACCTCAAAGCCAGTTACAAATACAATGGCTGTTGTAAGAATAAAAGGATTGAGATTCAAGGCAGCATCATGAACTACAAGAAGCTTTCCATTTAGCCCCAGGCACCAGTAATTTGCCTTCAGGTATCTCAGGTGCTGTGCTGAGACAGTCATCAGCTTGTAAGCACATCTGCAGAGAAAGGATGGGCCTGGAAGGAAGTGCAACAAATCTGAACCATTGCTTTCTTTGCCCAGCCACTTGTGTCCACTACTTAAGTCTTCTCTGAGGTACCAGAATAGCTTTTCTGCCCAGCTTCCTGGTCTGCAAGCCCATAATAACTGTATCTTGGTCTCAACCTTAAAGGAAACAGGAAATAGAGTATCTCCTCCCCCGCCTCCCCCCCGAAATAACAAGAATGAAAATCTATTCTAATCCCATTACATCTTATAAGTAGAAAAATTAGTCAACCTCCATTCTGTAAATTAATGGAAGACACAATCAGGACAAGAACTAAAGGTTGCAGTCCTAAAGGTAACATTCTGTATTTACAGAGGGATGTCAGCATCCACTGAGTTTCATCTGCGGGTTTTTGCAGCGCTGCAGGCTTGTGCAAGGCGACCCTAGAAAGAAAAGGGAAATTAATCAGTGCTCTAAGACACTGATATCCCACGACCATTTCCAACTTCTGCCTGAAGGAGAGACACCTTCAGTTCCATTCAGCTTTTTAGAGCATTGACAATAGTTCTTTTTCAAGAAGCACATGGTTTATTCACAGTTTGTATTAAGCTAGATGTGATGTAAAGACACTTTCTTTCCTTCCCTTCTCAGTTCATGCTTCTTGACCATTGATATGAGCCAAAATACAAGATAGGACAGGGAAAATTAAGGAGTTTCTATTATAGTTCAGGAGTTCAGTGACTAATGCCAAAATGACAACACTGCCTTGTGACTTCAGTCTATGACTGACAAGAATACATAGACTTACTGATAGCTTCTGCATAAATCCTTGGGCCTCCGCGTTCAGATGAAGAAGATTATTCTTGGTCACATCACTCGCTGCTAAACGAATGCTCTGTGGAAAAAACAGCCAAATCTTAGGTTTTCTGTCTGTAGAAAGGTGTAGTAGTCAGAGGCAGCAAATAAATTCAATTAGAAAATAAAAGTAAATAAAATCCAACTATACAAGGAGACTGTGTACAGGCAGAGACTACGTTAAGCTCAACCAGAAGCTCATCTCATACCTTCCTTGCAGTGCATTAGCACATTACTGCCAGCAGAAGCTACTTTAAATGCAGCTTCCACACAGAGCAACCATCATTCTACATTCCATTTTGACCACCGTGAACAGCTCTCACTTCTTAAAAGTCTTTAAAAGCTCTTTTTATGTTATGCCCATCCCTTGATAAACTGCAGTGGCACAACTAAACAGACAAGAGCGGATGAACTGAAACTGGTCAGGCCCCTCCCCACCCCCCAAAGGAGTTACAAGCTATCCCCCTTCAGCACTGATTCAAGTACAGATTCAAGTTTGTGATTTACCTCCCCTCCTCCCACAGGGACTGTGATGAAGATATCATTGACTTCAGCAAGGGGGCTGCCATTGGCAGAGACTGTGTAAACTCGTTCGTGTGCCGCGGGTGCGCGCAACCCCGGTGTCTTGAAGATGCTGAAACAAAGAGTTAGAAGTAAGAAATGTCACTGCAGTTGCCCAAAGCGCTTTAAGTCGAAGTCTTTCATTTCCAAAGAGCCATTAAGGATTACATTGCCAGGAGATGACAGCATAAGAGGTTAACAGAGAAATCCATCAGAATGCAAACCTGGGATCAAATCTGGGTGTGATCATGGAGGTACCTCCCGGAGCACAGAGATCAACAGTTCTACCAGTAGCTGGAGTGATGAAGTTGTTCTTGCTTGATCTGTTACAGGGGAAACAAACCCAAACATTTGCTTGTAAGAATCCTTTTAACAAATGTACAAGCATTATCTTACCAAAGACCTGAATGAGGTTGTCACCACAGAAAACCAGAGGTTCTTGCTGACCAAAGTTAAACCGCAAAGCTAGGGATAGCTGCTCACCACAGGAGGGAAAGTCGCCCATCCTTCATTCACTGTCAAATCCCCTATTTTTTCCCTATAGCATGGCACAACTACACCAACCAGCCTACTAAACCATACCCCAGTCCATTTCAGAGCTGTGTTAGCACTATACACTTACTCTCCGTTTCTGAAACCCAGCACAAAAGATATCCCCTATTACCTTTTACTCATGCGCTCCGCTCTTGCTGAAGGAGCTCTTCTGCTCTTGGAAGCTGGCGCTTTTTTAGTGGATGCCTTCACCTGAAACACACATGACACACCAAATCAGTCACTTCACTCTAACGTGACAGCTGAGTCCACATCAGCAGAGGCTTCCACGCAAACTGCCTGGCTCCACAGGCTCCTTTTTAGGGCACAAGAGTCCACAAACAAACACCAAAGAAGCTTCAGCAGCCTTCCCCTATTGCTACAATTTCCAAGGAAGCAATAGATGTTTTGAAGTCCCCCTCAAAGTGGGGATTCATCAACACTGGACACTGTTAAGTTTCAGCTGGACAAGGTGCTGGGACACCTAAGTCTAAGCCACACTTTGCCTAGAAATGTTGGGCCAGATGATCCTTGAGGTCCCTTCCAACCTGGGATTCTAGGAGTCTACAGTTCAAGGTATCCCAGCCAGCTCTAGTATCATAGGCATTGCCTCAGTAAGTAATTCACACTTTGGGAATAAAGGCATCACAAAGACTAGCTATTTACCTTTCCAGTTGTTGAATTAAGGTTTTTAGCTTCTGGCTCTGGAAGACATTGGCTCTCATGTTTTGCTTTCTTTGCTGGAGGAAGTGAAGGAGGCTCTGCTTCTTCTTTAATAGCTTCAATAGGATGTTTGAATTTCTCCACTAGAAAGAGAAAGTGTTGCCCAAGTTGAAAATAAACAGTAACTTGAAATTGTTACTTAGCAGAGGAGGTAAAGTGTAAACAACTACGAGCTTTTGAGCAACAATTTGCTTCCAAAATCCAAACTCCAGTGTAATCCAGGTGGTTGACAGAGCACTTTCTTGAATGTTTTAATAGAATTAAGTAGAGCTCCTGCAGACAGTAGGGAGAAAACCAGGATTATTTCCATGGTTTTAAACATACTGCAGAGCATAAGAAAGAATGGGGTTGTTATTCACAGTATGTAAACCTTGACATGCCTCCATCTCTCTGAACTCACCACAATGCTTAAAACAAACTGACCTTCCTTCATGACCTTGAAAGGAGTTCGGATAACTTCTGCTGTTAGCTTGTTTATTTCTGGTATTTCCAAGTCTGCCTACAATTAAAAACAGTCACAACACCATCAGGGTTATCAGTAGGATATAGTTCTGATAGGCAGCAAGAATACCTTTCATGCCTTCTGTTGTGCTCTAAACTGGGATCTTTCCTGTTATCCTGGAGGGGATAATGACACACATCTGCATGTCATTCAGGACTAATATACTTATGCTGCAAGTGTATTACTATTATTCACCTACACTCTGCTACTCAAATGCTTTAATTGAGACGTGTGTGCTGTCAGGGATCTGGGAGTGAAATGAAGCAGGGAAGGGAAGACGCACATGGAGCAGCACAAGTGTACAAATCCCGCACTGGATATAACAGACCGTTACGTTTTACAGCAACATTTATGGAAGTATTTGTGTAACCTCTGCTATAGCAACACCCCAACAGATGCAAGAAACCCTTCCCTGCCCGCAGTGGTATGAAGCAATATCAGAAAAGCTAAAGATTTATGCTAGAAACCTACCATTGCTGCCTCTTCCAACACCTTGTTGCATCCTGCTTTAGCTAAAAAGAAAAGATCTATTAGGAAACCAAGACATATCCAAGCCATACGCCCATACAACATACACAGATATACTTTAGTAAGTCACCACTAGGGAGCAGAAAACCAGCAAAACCCAGGTTTTGGGCAGCGAGGGAGCAGGGCAGTGCTGGAATCACCACCCCTGGTTCACACACCGTGTAGACGAGGCCCTCAGTGCCATGGGTTAGTGGTGGCCTTGGCGGTGCTGGGGAGCGGTTGGACGTGAGGAGCTTAAAGGTCTTTTCCAACCTGGTTGATTCTGTGACCCTAAAGAGAGCAGCGCTCCCGCAGCCCGCTTGCTTTGGGGAGGGGGTGGGGGGTAGAGTGGGTCCCGACGGCTCCGTTAATCCCGTTGGTTTTAGTAAACGAAGGCAA